AAATGACTTCATGTACAATGTTTCCATAGATGTACATCAATTTTTGCAAGACATAAAAAAGTTATTGTTTTATCTGAGTGTTCACCTAATCAAAAATTGTCACTACTCAAATAAAATGCTACACTCAATAGTTTCGCCGCAAATGGCCATGTCCCACTATTTTTTATTTCATCCCACTGTGCGACACGGGAGTGACAATGGCAGTAACGGGTATTTCTAGTATAATTTTTCTAAACGCCGTTCGTATTAGGAGCGTCCATAAATCGTCTTAAGGCCCACACGCAATGTGGACGAAAGCGGAACGGAAACGGAAAGTTTGACAGTTGTCACAAATGACATCAAGAAGCCTAACCTATGTCGATTTGGTTCTAACTAGTTTTCAATCCGACAAGTAGGCTTACTCAGATCGGGCTTTTCCGCTGCCGCTGCCGTTCCGCTTCCGCTGTCATTGCGCTTGGGCCTTTAGGCTGTGTTTCATTTGCTGAATTTTCACTTAAATTTGACAGATAGAAAATTTTAAAATAAACCTGCTATTGTACCAGACTTATTTCTGAAAGACAAGGAATCAATTTTGACAAACACTTTTTCGAAAATCGGATGATCAACAACAGAGGAATTTTCGAACATTATCATTTATTTTCGAAGTGTCAAATTTAAGTGAAAATTCACCAAATGGAACACAGCCTTAAAGCATAGAGGTAACTCTAAGACTAGAAGGTCCCGAAATAACATGCTCAACTTTTTGGCTCAGCTCTGGTACTCTCTTCGGTCCCAAGCTAATCGATTCACCCCTCGAAACATAAGAAAAACGAATAACCCCTCATTTTATCTGTCAAACTTTCATAGCGAATCAAAACAAACATTGCGTAGTACTAGAATTTCGACTAGAATGGGGTACGTTAATCGTTTGCTTGGGACCAATAGGCTAGTCAAGTAGTGAGCCAATTTAAAATCGTTAGTTTCGTATTGATTGTTGCTTAAAGGCAGGGTTATAGTCGCTATATTTATAGTCTGGCGGAGAGAAAAACCAAAAAAAAAAGTAACGTAGGTTTTAAAAACAAAAAGCTAGCACCGTGAAGAACATCATAAAAATACTTTTTCTAATTATGTGTGTATTCAATCTAACCCCCACTGGCCGACAATGGTATTATGGAAGAAATGTCCTTGAGAAATCTTTGAAGTAACAATTGAATGCAGTTTCAGTCCGGGAATTAAAATGTGATAGCTCTACTCCAGATCCAGCAACCCAGTTCAGAATGCCTGGTCATTCCATCCCGAGATCACTTTCACTTGCAATAAGCCCCACATGAAAACCCTGCCGGATAATGGTACACACAAAACATATTTATCTTACATCCAATGTAATGTTCAATTTATTACAGGCTCTACACATTTTTCATACAACAAAAGTAATAGCAGTTCTTGCAATGCACTGCAGTGTACAAGCAAGTTTTCCCAGAATGCATATGTTTTGTATAAAACCTTCACGAAATGATTTTCTCCGGCAATGGATTAAGAAACATTTTTTTTCTTTTTCGAAAAATAAGCTAACATTAAAATTACAAAATTATTTTAAAAACTACAAGGGACAGCCCTATGGGGTTGTACGCGATGGTGACGTAGAACTACGAGGTCTTATATAATTAATATTATTTGTTAACTGCAGCAGGAGCTTGTGTTTTGTGTAGGAATAGGAATTTGAGCGGGGTTACCTTTAGTATGACCTTTTTTTTTAATCTTTATTATAGAAATTTTTAGCCGAAGGCTAGTTCATCTCTTCTTTAGTATGACCAACAATCAATACGAAACTAACGATTTTAAATTGGCTCACTACTTGACTAGCCTATTGGTCCCAAGCAAACGATTAACGTACCCCATTCTAGTCGAAATTCTAGTACTACACAATGTTTGTTTTGATTTGCTATGAAAGTTTGACAGATAAAATGAGGGGCTAGTGGATTTTCCTATGTTTCGAGGGTTGAATCGATTTGTTTGGGACCGAAGAGAGTACCAGAGCTGAGCCAAAAAGTTAGGCACGTTTCTTCGGGACCTTTTAGTCTTAGTCTTGGTATGACTATGATTGCGCTGAAAAGAACCTTTTGATATGAATTTTAGTTGGAACATGTTTAGAAATTTAACTCTTTTAGAAAAACTTGGTGGCCCTGGAAAGGGCCGATGGTAGTACAGGCTAAAAGCCTTTGGAAAATGATGATGACGTGAAGGCAGCTGGACAAGCAAATCGAACCGGACAATCCCATATTCTTCGGTCTGCTGTTGGACAGGGGTTGATCTTTTGTCTGCGACATGTTGGAAGCATAGAGGTAACTCTAAGACCACTGGGTCCCGAAGAAAATCATTATTATTTTTGGCTCACTCAGTACCAGAACAACGGTCCCAAGCAGTCCCAAGCTATTTCACTCACCCCTGCATGTTATGCATGAATCCACACACCCCTGATGTTATCTGTCAAACTTTCATAGCGAATCAAAACAAACATAGTGTAGTAATAGAATTTCAACTAGAATAGGGTACGTTAATCGTTTGCTTGGGACCAATAGGCTACTAAAGTGGTGAGCCAATTTAAAATCGTTAGTTTCGTATTGATTGTTGTTGGAAGGCTGCAGAATATCAGTGTCCACCCAGTCAAAGCTCCTCCCCTTTTTAGTTCTTCTCGTTAAACTCATTCTCTCAACAAGGTGGTAAATCTTAGCCTTTAGCAGAAACACGCTTAACACTTTTCGGCGAATTTATGATCCTGTTTCATGTCATGGTTGCCTGTTCAGATAAAAAAGTACTTTTATTTATTATCTTGAATAAAACGAGTAGAAATAAGAAGGGAAGTCGGTTACGCGCTCGAATAATTGAAAATTCGATAAATATTTAATCGAATAGCTCACATCCCTAGAAAAAAGTGTAATTTCTTGATTTTTGGTGGTCCTTCGAAAATATCGAACAGCAGAACTGCAACCAGCAATTGTAACCCAAGAACCAAAAGCGGAGCGATGCTAGTTTTCATTGCTATGGCGACGACTGAATTAAAGGGCTTAGAAGCAGAGGGTTCAAAGTCAATTATCTTCAACGATTTCCTCTTTTGATGACGCTTTTGGAGAATGATTGGCATTTACCACTTTTTCAATAGTTTCTTGTTGAAAATCAACAGTCGGAAGCATTTCTGATCGATTGGTGATAAAATTATAAAAATTGGGCCAGGTGCAACTCAGCGTTCAAAATCTTTCATAAATTCGTTACATGTTCCATTTTCGGTTTTCACAAAGTGTACCCCCATATAGAAATCACAGACGTATTCCTACGTCAAAACCTTCCGGCGACCACATTACAGAATCTGTTCATGTAATGAAACATTTCCCGGTTGGGTGTACTCTTTCGAAATCCGGCACGTATTTAGTAGTAATTGGAAATAGGCATTTAGAATCAATTGTTCATCTCACCAAATTTCACCTCAGAAATAACACAGTTTGCTCGCTCGCAGTAATATAAAAAAAGTCCTTTCAGCCGAGCACAGCATTTTTAAACATACGCGAAATTATTGAATACGATACGGGCGTCCACTACACAGCAAAAAATAAATTTTAATATTGCCAAATCAGATAAAAATTAGCATTTGGTGTTAGATTATCAGCTTTAATAGCATTTTACCTGAAACGGTAATATTACATCCAAGAGGATGCACTTCACTCATGTCGAAAATCTCATGTAATTTTTATGGCCACAACAACAAATAAATGCAGTAAAAGCAGCCCCAGACAACCAGAAGTCGTATAACAATGTACATACGGTATCGTAAATTGGTACAGTTAAAGTCAAAATCGCATATAAGAATGGCATATCTCGCATTATGTTCAAGTTAAATCGTATAGAATGCAAATTTCCGACCTATATGCGATGACACATTTTTCCGTCGTACTGTATCACAAATTAAGTCGGATTACATCGTAAGACTTTTCAAAATGAATTTGTTATTACAGATTAAATCGTATATGAAAATCATCAACTCATTTAAAAATAATTAAAATATGCACGTATGTGGCCTCTACTTTTGTACGTATAAGCCATTTATTTGCATTCTATATGAATTGTTTGTTTGTATATATGTTTGTATATTACGAAAACAACTTTGAATATACGTACATTCTGGTTGTCTGGGGCGTAATGTCAGTTCATGCACTGTATTAATGATAATTTTGTCCATTTTGGCAAGTAATATTACACCTTATTTTCAACATGACTGAAGTGCATCCACTGTGATGTGATATTAAAATTAATTTTTTGCTGTGTATAGTTCAGAAATTTTACGTTTTTCACACTAAATTTGCACTTAACACGCAGTAAAGCAACAACAAAAACTAAACACGTCAATTTCTATTCACGGCCTACCTCGATGCTCCAGAAATTATAGCACGATCACGATACTTCCACTGCTAAATTCAGTACTGTTCGATTGGTTCCGCTTTTCGGCAGCACAAATTGTTTCCCAACATTTTATCCGCCAGACTATAAATATAGCGACTATCGGCAGGGGGCGTTGATGAACGTGTCAGTTTCTGTTTGTTAATTTCACCCTTTCCCTCCTAACCGAGCTCCTAACCCCATAATGTATGGTCAATTGGTGTTGACGGCGACTCTGTAGCTCTTTACTCCTATGAGAAAATCCATAAGTAAACGTCAGACTGTCCGTGAAACATGGCGGACTTTGTACTATCCTTTCACTCCACCGAAAATTCCCATAAGAAACTGTCTATATTTGCTGGAAGAGCAAATTGTTCGACGGTGCCGTCAACGCCAATTATATGTAAACCTTACCTACGTAATAAGTCATCAGGAATAAGAAAAACCACATTCGCAGATAACGTTTCACCAACTAGTGACTTGAACGAATGTTAAGCGACGAACCCTTCAACTCCAGTAGCACGAACGCTTTGTGACCATGGTGCGTGCACGTGTGAACATATTTTTTCTTTTCTTATATTTTATTTTTTTAGGAAGTTTCCACTACCGGAAGTAGCAATGCAGTTCCTCGAATTTCCGAACCCGAATGGAGTAGATTCTCTGTCAACGTATTTCAGGAGGGACCGCTCGCCTCCACCAGCGAAAAAACAGTCACCAATCCGGGCCAGCTACGGTGTGAACACTGCAAGAAAAAGATGAAGAAACCCTACAAACATCGGAATGGCAAATGTCTAGTTTCGAAAAACAAATCTACGTCTCGACCAAAGTGCGCATACTGCCATCAGACTTTTGTTAGCAGCAAAGGAATACCAGGCCACTTGCGAAACAGTTGCCGAATATATCGGCAAGTGTGCGAAGCGAAAGGAATCGGTCTACCGGTATTCAATCAGCACACAGATCATTCATCTTCGCCAGCTGTTACTCCATCCGCATCCGTTACCAATGAAACTCCCGAACCGAAAATAGCTTCCCCAGTGCAAAGTATACATTTCGATCAAAAACCCAGGATGAGAAGGACTAAGACTTCCAAGTGGAACCCTCGCTTTAGTTGCCAGTATTGTAGTAAGAAATTCACGAAAAAATCCAATCTAATCCGGCATCAGCAAAAGCAGTGCGAAATATTGCTGGAAACGCATGATGAAAATATTAGCGCCATAAAAACCACCGCCGACGTTACCGTAAGTGTACCACTTCCGCTACGCGAATCACAGGACGATAAAAGTGCCATCGTTAAGGATCAACACAACCTGGATAAGCTACCGGAAGAGGAAACCAAGTGTATCTACTGCCAGCAGAATGTGAACAAAAAAACTCGCTTCCTCCATCACAACGGCCGGTGTGTATTGGGAAGGGTAAACGCCGACCATCCGTGTCCGTACTGCCCGGAGGCATTTTCGTCCCGAAGTCTTCTGCTAAAGCATCGGTGCGAGTCGCTGCAAGAGGTGAGTGTCAGTTTAGCTCTACTTTGTGTCCTCCATTTGGTGGTCCATTTTAAACATTTTAGCGTTCGGATTGCAATTTTAATCATATTGTTAGATTTCTCTGCTTCAAATTACCACCTCGATATCATCACCGTGAATTTGAACTCGTATATGACGAGCCCAATCCAATTAGCTTCTTTAGTCTTTAGTGCCTATAGGTCTTCAAGACCTGTTAGAGCAATCAGTTTGTGTGCAAACTTTTTGGATGCTAGAGAACAGTCGCAATGATTTGTGATTTGGTTTTCTTTTTCGTAATGACAAAGGACACCTGAATACCCATGGATTAATTTTAACTACAATGGAAGCTATCCTTCTTCTTAAAAAATATATCTTTATTCTTAGGAGCAGAACGAGCAGAACAATGTAGATACTGCCGTGCCTAGTGAATCCCAGCCGCTGGAACGGAAGCAGCGAAGAACGTCCAAACTAATGCCGAAACGATTGGCAAGGGAAAAGACACCGATCAGGGAAACATCACGGAAGCGACGGGATAGGATAATTGATGTGTCTCCCAAGAGCATAGTGAAACGGGAATTCTGCACCTACTGTCGCCAGCGAATCAAAGAGTCCGATCGACAGAAACACAAGGAGAAACGGTGCTTCAACAACAATGCAACGACCTACAACTGCGGGTACTGCCGGAAGAGTTTTGCCGCTCGGGAATTGCTGATCGAACATCAGCGAATCTGCACCGTCCGCAAGCAACACAAACAGGTCAAGTGCCAATTTTGCGGAGCGATGATTTCGAATCGGGGCAATCTGAAGAAGCACCAGAAAGTTTACTGTAAATCGGTGGTAAGTTTGAGCAAAGCATTTTGGCGACCACCGAGTATAGATTGTATGAACATTCATTTCAGAAACGGGGGAATGATGTGAAATCGGAGAAACCGCCAGTGGTGAAAGAAGAAAAGCCGGTCAAGAAAAAGAAAAGGGTGAAAAAGGAAGTGCACGATTCACGGGAGGAGGATGTAGAAAATATTCCGCTTAAACAGCGAAAAATCAAATCCAAATCGAATGACAGCACTGAACATAAAATGAAAAAGAAACGGGCCAGTAAGAAACATCGCTTCCCCTGCGAAAACTGTAAGCTTACGTTCGCGACGGAAAGTCGAGCGCGAAAGCACGGCAGTAAATGTTCCGCCAAGCCGACAACCAATTCCTTCATTTGCGAATATTGTTCACAATCGTTCTCCACGAAAAGCAACATGTACCGCCACCAGCGGCTGATGTGCAGCAGACTTGATCCAGATGAGGTGAGTTAACATGCTGCAGTGGAGACGCATATGAATTACCAAACGCCCAAGTTGGGTGTGGTGTGCCAATTTTTACAATGTATTTTCCACTCTTTCAGGACATAGTCAACGAAACCATCAAGGAGTTCTCTCAACCGAAAACCACCGAGGCATCTAATTTAACGGTTGAAGAGATGGAAGATGAAGAACAACCGGACCCTACCGAGGATCCCCTATCCGATCCTAAACCAGCGCCTTGTACTGAACAAAGTCGAACCGAATCGGTGCAGTCGCCCGTGTCGAACGACGACGGCGACAACGACGATGAGTACGTTCCAGAACCGGAAGCAGAGGAAGAAATCATTGTACCGGAGGAACACTTACCCATGGAGAAGGAGGAGGTTGTAGTGGCGGTCGAAGCGCACGATGATCCCCACGACGAACCGGATAACAATAATGCTGAAGCGGAGAAAGCCTCGACCGAGGCGGTGCGGTTGCCTACCGTTGCACCGGTGATAGAAAGAAACGAAGACTCCCAACACGACGAAAAGCAGCTGTCGACGGCTGAAGAGATTGTTCCCGACTGCGAATCTGAACGGGAACCAATGCAGGTGGAACATTCGGCAAATTAAAAACACACAAACGAAGGTTATAGCGAGCGAGTAACTATAGCCTGGTAATGGCATTTGTGGATGGCATTTTCGATTGCTCGGTAAATTGTACCTACTGTGACATAAGTTCTGATTTATGTGAATAGAATTTACTAGGTCCTATCCTTAGGGGTGGGCGTTATTACGAATCATACCAAGTATTGAACCAATTGTTAAGCAAAAGGAGTTTGATATCGTGTAAATGTAGCGAAACAGGGTGGTAATAAAACGATTGAAGACGGTGTAACAGAAATCTCCAGTTAACTGTTCTTTTTTTTTTTTTGAAAGAAATTGGGTTCTTTAGGGGTCAACCTGCGGAAGAATCATTACTGTATGATTCTCAAGAGATTTCTCGTGTGTCTGGTGTCGGCCTCCCGCCGTACGTACCACCGTACGAGCACGTTACCCTGTGTGTGTTTTCGGAGGTCTCTGTGACCACGCCGGTTGTTGTTGCTACTCGTAACCAGTGTTTTACCCGATGTTTGTTGCTCTCGAAAATCTTAAAACCAAACCCTAGGCAGGGGATCACTCGGCTCGTGGATCGATGAAGACCGCAGCTTAATGCGCGTCAGAATGTGAACTGCAGGACACATGAACACCGACAAGTTGGACGCATATTCCAAGAGCTATTTATCTGTCTTACGGGTTGCCAACTTTCTTTATTTCACTCGCGAACAAACTGCTATTCACAACGTCTGTCTAAAATTTGATCTCTATCATCTTTTTCTTCACACTGCGTCCTAGCAAGAAGTACGGTCGACTTGTTTCGCGCTCCGTTGTTTTGGAAGTTTTTTCGGTATTCGCTTGATATAATTTATCAGTTTTTTTCTCACTAAGTGACTCCTGGCATAGTTCCCGGTAAATTGATCGAAAAGTGAGTTTTTTTTTAGTAGAAAGTGTCATTTTCGGAAAGATTAATCCGTGCTATTGGAAATTCGCAAACAAATTTGGGCATCATCGTTGCGTGGTCACGCATACGCGCTTACGCATACCCGCTCACGTATCATCATCATCGAGTGTGAGCACCCGTTTCTACATCTATATCGTTCATCATTCATCGTGCGCCTGTGTGCGCTGAGTGCCGCGCCTCGATCAAGTGCACCACAGCGAAGGTCATCCACGCTGCGCGTCGCTTCCCAGCCATCTGTGTAAACGCCTACACATATAACGTTCGGTGGTAGTAGTATAGGATTATCAGATAAGCTTTTGTTTTTTTTTTCTTGTTTCTTTTACTCCCCCATTAGTTAAATTTTCATTTTGTATTTCTGTGTTTGTAGTGTTTTCTGTGTATTGTGTCTGTGCGTTCAGTGGGAGAGCGTTTTGCGCTCCCACTAGTTGAACAAAATGGATGTTTTGTCAGAAGACGACATGGATGACCATTCATCTCAGAAGAATGATGATGTCATCCCTGGTTCGTCGTCTCAGTCTGTCGATGGGCAGGCTGAGAAAAGCACCAGATTGCGGGCCTACCCGAATGACTCGACTGGCCCATGGGTTGTCTATTTTCAGCCCAAAAACAAACCCTTGAATGTTGTTCAGATATCTGATGATCTGACAAAGCGATTCTCTGCCGTGACCGAAATAACGAAGGTTAGGCACAACAAACTTCGTGTGACCGTCGCTAACCTGAAACAGGCCAATGAAATTGCTGTTTCCCAGTTTTTCACACTGGAATATAGGGTGTACATTCCAGCCTCTGATGTGGAGATCGAAGGCGTGGTCACTGAGGCGAGTCTGAACCCCGAGATACTGGAGAAGCAAGCGGTTGGCCGATTCAAGAACCCCTTGCTTCCTCCGGTAAAGATACTGGCCGTTCATAGAATGAAGTCAGTATCGCTCAGCGAGGGTAAAAAGAGTTTTACCCCCACAGACTCGTTTCGGGTGACCTTTTCTGGATCTGCCCTTCCTCAATACATCGAGCTGGGAAAACTTCGTCTTCCTGTGCGGTTGTTTGTACCTCGGGTCATGAACTGCCAGCATTGTAAGCGGTTGGGACATACGGCCTCCCACTGCGGTAACAAGGCACGCTGCTCCACATGCGGGGAGAAGCATGAGGATGGCGCCTGCGCAGCTACTGCACCAAAATGCGTGTACTGCAACGGAACTCCTCCTCATGCTCTCTCGTCGTGCCCGGCGTACAAACAGCTCGGGGACAAAATGAAACGCTCCCTTAAGGAACGTTCCAGGCGGTCTTTTGCAGAAATGCTTAAGACAGCCACGCCATCGACCAATGACAAAAATCCCTTTTCTCTTTTGTCAGATGACGAGACTGACTCTGACTTGGCTGAGGAGGGAATTTCTTTCAGTTTTCCGGAAGGTTCTGCACGGAAACGAAAGCGCATCCGTTCGCGGATTGTTGCAAATAAAGAACCCCAAATCAGCTTGCCTAAATCAAGGAGTGGTGGAAAAAAGGAGACTTCTACTCCTCCTGGATTCCGCAGAACTGACTATACCCAGGATTTTCCACCACTTCCGGGGACATCCAAAACCCCTGATGCCCCAATTTTAAGAACAGAAACCCCTTCTTCATCTGGGCTGTTCTCATTTGATGACATTGTGGACGGTATTCTCAAATACCTCAACATTTCTGATCCTCTGAAAAGCATTGTCCTCACATTGCTTCCGACTGTGAAATCCTTCTTGAAGCAATTGACTTCAAAATGGCCCCTTCTTGCAGCTATCATCTCCTTCGATGGATAATTTTCCAAACGAGGTCGGGGATTTGATCACTGTTCTACAGTGGAATTGTCGAAGTCTTATTCCGAAATTAGATTCGTTCAAGTATTTAGTCCATAACAATAATTGCGATGCATTTGCCCTCTGTGAAACATGGCTTTCTTCAGAAATTGATCTCCCTTTTTTTGATTTTAACATTATTCGATTGGATCGTGAGGATTCACGTGGAGGAGGGGTACTTTTGGGGATCAAAAAGTGCCATTCCTTCTATAGAGTGAATCTTCCCGAATTCCCCGGTATTGAAGTTGTCGCATGTCAGGCTACCATTAAAGGTAAGAGCCTTTGTATTGCTTCTGTATACATTGCTCCTAGAGTCTCTGTTAATCGCAAACAACTTTTCGACATATGTGCGGTACTTCCCGCTCCATGGTTGATCATGGGAGATTTTAACTCCCACGGTACAGGCTGGGGGGAACTGTACGATGATAACCGTTCTACTTTGATTTATGATCTCTGTGACAACTTCAACATGACAATCCTTAACAATGGAGAAGTAACACGTTTGGCTGGTCCATCCTCGAATGGTAGCAGATTAGACCTCACCTTTTGCTCCAATTCACTATCGTTGGATTGCACTTGGCATGTAATCCAGGATCCGCACGGTAGTGATCATTTGCCGATCAAAATTTCGATTGCCAGTGGGTTCAACTCGTCAGAATCCGTTAACGTCGCGTATGATCTAACCCGTAACATCGATTGGACTAAGTTCCAATCCGCGATAGACGATACAGTATCGTCAGTGGAAGAGCTTCCGCCGTTGGAGGAATATAATTTCCTCTCTAATCTCATCGTCGACAGCGCACTTCAAGCTCAAACACGACCGGTGCCGCAATCGTCTATTCGTAAGAAAACACCATCGCTCTGGTGGGATCAACAATGCACGGAGGTTTACCGTAAAAAGTCCGACGCGTTTAAACTTTTTCGGAAACGCGGAACACGCGAGCATTTCGACGCATACACATCTCTTGAACGCGAACTCAAGAGCCTCATCAAGGCCAAAAAACGGGGTTACTGGCGGCAGTTTGTAGACGGATTGTCGCGCGAAACGTCTATGAATACGCTTTGGAGTACGGCGCGAAGAATGCGTAACCGGTCTACTAACAACGAAAGCGAGGAATGCTCGGATCAATGGATTCTTAAATTCGCGCGAAAAGTGTGTCCGGATTCCGTGCCGTCGCAGTTGATTCCTCGCGAAACCGCGAATTCGGTACACGAAATCAGTCAGCCTTTTTCAATGGTCGAACTTTCACTCGCTCTCCTTTCGTGTGGTAATTCTGCCCCGGGATCTGATAGAATCAAGTTCAACTTGCTGAAAAACCTCCCAGATGTCGCTAAGAGGCGCATGTTGAACTTGTACAATCAGTTCTTGGAGCTCAATATTGTTCCCGACGATTGGAGACGAGTGAGGGTGATAGCCATTAAAAAGCCTGATAAACCCGCGTCGGATCACAATTCGTATCGGCCCATCGCGATGCTGTCGTGTATTCGGAAATTGATGGAGAAAATGATCCTTTTTCGCCTCGACAAATGGGTTGAGACGAACCACCTTCTTTCAGATACTCAATTTGGTTTCCGTAGGGGTAAGGGAACGAACGACTGTCTCGCGTTGCTTTCCTCGGAAATTCAGTTGGCTTTTGCTAAGAAAGAGCAAATGGCTTCTGTGTTCTTGGATATCAAGGGGGCTTTTGATTCAGTATCCGTTGAAGTTCTTTCAGAGAAACTCCACGCTTGTGGATTGTCTCCATTAATGAATAATTTTTTGTACAATTTGCTGTCAGAAAAACATATGAGCTTTTCTCATGGAAACTCTACAGCTTTTCGATTTAGCTACATGGGTCTCCCCCAAGGCTCATGTTTAAGCCCCCTTTTGTACAATTTCTACGTTAGAGAAATTGACAATTGTCTTAGTGACAATTGCACGTTGAGACAACTTGCAGATGATGGCGTAGTGTCTATCACAGGGCCAAAAGAGGTTGACCTGCAAGGACCCTTACAGGATACCTTGGACAATTTGTCTACTTGGGCTATTCAGCTAGGTATCGAATTCTCCACGGAGAAAACTGAGTTGGTCGTTTTTTCTAGGAAGCATAGCCCAGCACAACCGAAGCTTCAACTTTTGGGTAAACCGATCACTCATTCCATGTCTTTTAAATATCTCGGGGTCTGGTTCGATTCCAAATGCACCTGGAGATCCCACATTGAGTATCTGAGACGAAAATGCCAACTAAGGATCAATTTCCTTCGATCAATTACCGGAACGTGGTGGGGAGCCCATCCACAAGATCTTCTGACGTTGTACCGGACAACGATTTTATCGGTTTTAGAGTACGGTAGTTTTTGCTTAGAGTCGGCAGCTAAAACGCACATCATCAAGCTGGAACGGATCCAGTATCGTTGTCTTCGTATCGCGTTAGGATGCATGCACTCGACTCATACTATGAGTCTCCAAGTGCTGGCGGGCATGTTGCCACTATCCGTCCGTTTTTCAGAGTTATCTCTTAGGCTCCTCACCCGTTG